AGGGGGATGGGAAGAGACAGACTGGGATTTCAAAAATTGTAGATACTGACAGGCATATGTAGAATAGATAAACAAGATTATACTGTATAGCACAGGGAAATAGATTCAAGATCTTGTAGCTCACAGCGAAAAAAAATGTGACAATGAATATATGTATATTCAGGTATAACTGAAAAACTGTGCTCTACACTGGAATTTGACAACACTGTAAAATGACTATAACTCAATAAAAAAAGTTTGAAAAAAAAGATTTACTGGTAAGAGCTTTGATGCATATTAAATATCCGATGTGATACTTACTAGATCCAGTGCGGAGCCTCCACCAAGATATTCCATTATTATCCACAATTTAGTGTCCTACAAAAACAAAAAAGAGGGAGGGAAGTTATTTTTTTTAAAGGCAAAAAAGATTATTTTATATTTTTCACCGTGATTTTGGAACTAGGAGCTTTTATACATATGCAACAGCAAGGAAAGTGTGTCTGAGGGAGTTCCGTGTGGGAAACCTGCATTGTGTCAGCGGGGATCCCACATCAGACCCTCCCATCCAGGCAGGGGGTCCCACACCTACTGAACCAGAGGGTAAGGACACCCATTTCCACACCACCTCAGCAGGTGACCCTCAGGTGCAGGAGGGTTTGGAAACCAGTCCCCAAAACCAGGCAAAGCCAGCAGCAGCCATGCAGGTCCTGCCACGGGCGTCAGCCAGGAGGTGCCAGGAGCACAGCCATGGGGACAGGTCCCCTTCCTCCGGCCTGCAGCTCTAAGACGCACAGAGAAGGCAGCACAGCTCATGTAGCCTTCCACCTGCTGCCCAGAGCCTGTCCTCCAGCACCCCTCACCAGCCTCCAGGTCTGGTGTCTTTTCCCTTTGTCTCTCCTGAAGCCACGCAGCCCCTGTGACTCCCAGAGTTCTCTTTTCAAACACAAGTCCCAGAGGGCTAGAAATCAACTCTCGCAGGGGTGGCCAACACCATTTTGGACAGTACAAGAAAGCTCAACTGTTTTTCTACAAGGAACATGGAAGTTCACATTTCTACTCCCACACCCTTTCCTCCGGCGCCGTCTGGCCCAGCTTCCATCCCTTTTATTAGATGGTGTTGAGGGTGAGTCCCCAGCAGTGAGAGAAGCGGTGGCCGGCAGGTGCCCCCTCCACTCCCACCTGCAGGGAGCCGGGGCTGAGCAACAGGACCGCCTGGGAAACAATCTGCCCTGACTCTGAGGTGTGGGGCCACCACGCTACTTCCGGAAGCAGCAAGACAAGGGATCCACCTCGCCCTCCGTTCTGAAGCTCCACATTTCTAGTCCTTGCTGGGCTGGCCCCACGGCCAACTGCTCACCTGCCTGCCAGCCTGGGAACAAAGTGACCCTGCATATGGCTACCTTCCCCTTTCAGGGAGCCTAAAAGGGGACAAAGTGACCCTTTATCCTGTGTTGTCTTAAACCCTCAGGGGAATTTCAGCCAAAGCAAACAACTGGCAAACCTAGGCTCCCCAGCGGAAAGGCTTTATTCAGCCCCACCCTTCGCTGTAAAGGCTTCGCCCTCTGGGAGCGAGAGATGGAGCAACAAGACCAGCCCAACTTCCACAACCAAGCAGCTCGTTCCTGGAACCAGACACGCAGGGTCTGAACGCTACCCACCGTGAGGTCGGCCAGACTGGGGCGGGGCACTTAGGAAGATATTGCTGGGTCCTTCATTCAGGCCACTGCTTTTTAAATACCTTGGCCAGGTCCTAAGACCAACGAGCTTTTGTCCTTGGTTCCACCAGTTCCACCAGTTGGGGAATGGGAAATGAATCATGAAAGGTTCCACTGGTCCCCACCTGAAGCTGCTTTCCAACCTCACTGAGTGTGGCGCTCACGGCAGCCACTGTGTTGGCCAGAAAGTGGGGCACCTCACTGAGTGTGGCGCTCACGGCAGCCACTGTGTTGGGCCAGAAAGTGGGGCGGCACCTTCCCCCCCACCCACGCTCCTGTGTGCTCTGCTTGGCCAGTCCCCGCTCCCTCTGGGCCACGCCTGCTCTGCCTGCGGGGAGCGGGGAGCCCTGCCTTCTACAACTAAAACAGACCTACTCGACCACTGACGACCGCTGACGCCTGACAACTCCCAGAGTGGGGCCCAGGAGAGGGGACAGCAGGGACCAGCCAGATCTCGGGGGTGGAACCAAGTGTCTTAAGATAAAGCAAATGAGCTGGCACCGAGGTGGGGGAGGCAGTGAGGGGACGAGCGCAGGTGCCAGCAGATGGGCAGGACGGAAGCTGTAGAAGGAAAGAGCCTACAGAGAAAGGTCTATCTTGTAGCCTGTGTTAAGCGCTTCACACCTTCTCCCAAAGGTCACTGAAGGCCACCAGAGCAGACGCTGGCTCCTAAAGAGTGCTCGAGGTGTGTGGAGAAGGGCCGGAGACAGCAGTGAAGGGTGTGCGGTCAGGGGCCCAGGAGGCAGAGGGGCAGCCATGGGATGCGGAGCCCAGCAGGTCAGGGGGCCTCACTCGAAAGGGTGCCTGGCCACTCCCTTCACTGACAGGCAGCCCTGGAGGGGGCGGCAGAGGACATGGTGACAAAGGTGCCCACAGGCCATCCCTGGAGGGAGAGTGAATCTCCTTTCCCTTTAACCCAATTGCTGGTTTTAAAGTAACTGATAACTTCTACCAAACTTCAGTACGAACTCCCAACCCCAGCCCTGCACAAGCATCCATCTACCTCCTCCCTTCCATGCCTGGCTCCAACACCACAGGCTTGGAGTCCTCCTGCCCGGCCTCCTGCACATCACAGCTCACAGGCCTGGCCTCTGAGGACATGCACCAGGGTGCCCACCCCCAGGACTCCAGGCCCAAACTCTGTCCTCACTCTCCCTGCTTCCAAGGAGGTCCAGCTCAGTCGCCACCAGAGGGCAGCCTGGCCAGCAGTGTCCTCCGTCCCCCACCGCCTCCCACTACCAGTGAGCCCTAGTCCCACGGGGGACCTACTCACACCAGTGACCTCTCCACTCATTCCTCACCTTCCCCTGACACTTTCCTCCACTCCTCTGGGCTCAACTACTTTCCCACTTTCTCCGGTCTGATTCTCCCACGTCCCAGTGCACCCTAAGGTTATTGGTTCTGCTTGGCTCCTCCCTCTCCTGGCTCACATCCCCAAACTGTAACCCCCGGATGCTGCTTTCTCTTTCCTCCCGAGAGGGAAGGGTGCTAGAAACACCTCTGCCTAGCTCACAAACCAGGTCAGGACAGAGATGCTGCGGATGTTATGAAAACCAGGGACAAAGTGAAAGGCAGACTTCAGCATCTGTGGAGGCCTTGGTGCAAATGCAGGACCGTGTGGCACCAGGTGGCACACCTGCAGCACCACAGCTCCAGGGCAGGACACACACTCAACACAGGCAGAGGAGGCCTCTTCAGTCTGCCATCAGTCATGATCTCAAATAATACTTTCTACTACCATCAATCCTTAAAGACGACACGTTCAAAGCGGAGTAAATGGACAAGCTCAGGAAAGTGAGGGTTGCGGGTGAAGCACTCCCGTTCGGCTTTGTCAGGATTTCAAACCTTCGGTGCTCCTGACCTTTGAGGCTGGAAATGTGGGGGGTGGGGGTGGGGGTGCACTGCAGGGTGTACAGCAGCATCCCTGGCCTCCACCCACTAGAGGCGGGCACTACATGTCCAGTTCTGACAATGTTAAACATCCCCAGGCACCGCCAATGTCCTGTCCTCTGGGGGCCAGAACCACCCCCACTGGAAACCTCTGAACTGCATGATCCATGTTCATAAGCTTGACGTGTTACTGCACCGCAAGTGCTGACCACAGTCCTCTCCACATCTTGGCAGAGCCAGTTTATACCCTGAGACCCCCAGCTAGACCACCACCACCACTCACTGTGAGACATCAAAGCTCTGAATTCCTCATCCACGAAAAGATGGCGATAATCTGTGCTTCCAACCCTTACAGTTCAACTGACAATAAAATGAACGTGAAAGCCCTTTGCAAAGCTCAAGGTACTAAACATTAACATAATCACCCGTTAAGTGCCTCAGAATAAGCCGGCAAAACCAAAACAGCCCGATTAGCAAGACTAAGTGGTATTTCTCTGCATGGGAATTTCTGAGCAAAATGAAATCTGGAACAACGACTCATACACGTTCTACACTAGAATGAAAAATAATTACTGCCCTGCCAGTCTTGAAGCAAGAATATCTGAGAAGGGTGGTCTGGTCAAGGGACACATTCCACCTGTTCCTGGTGACCAAGTCTTGTCACAGCTCAGATGCAGAACCACTGCCCTCATAAAACCTGCCAAATTGTGACTTGTGGGGTACCCTAAGAAAAATACGTAAGATTTCTTAAAATAAGAATGATTTTAATCAGAATAATTTCATTTCTTAAAAATGACCTCAAACAACAGAAATTATGAATGAGCTTGTGACAGAATTTTCTGATAAGGGAAAGAAAATGGGTTATTTATTTAATAAATTCAGGATCCAAAATTTAAAAGGTACTGAGTGTATAAAGTGAGAAGTTTCCCTCTCACCCCTGGCTCCTGGCTGTCCAGCCTCCACACCCAGCAAGTTTTCATCCCATCTTCTGTAACCTCAGAGAAGCATCTTATGCAAACACCTATAAACTCTTTCTCGCCTTCTATCCAAGTGTAACCTTCTATACAGTGTTCTATGCCCCGCTTCTCCTTTGAGCATTCTATACTTGCCCATAAAGGAATCTCCCCTTAAAAGAAAATACAAACTTTTCAACCTATTGACAACATTAGGTTGTTTCCATTCTTCTGCAATCATGAGCCAGGCATCAGCTCAAGAACCTCATAGAAAATATCATTTGGGGAGTTCCTGGGAGGGGAATCGCCAGGCCAGAGGAATCCACTTGAATTTAAACAGATAATGACAGATAATGACAAATTATTCTTCAAAGAGGGTGGCTCCATTTAGACTGCCTCCAGCAATGTCTGAGTGCCAATTTCCCCTTTTCTTTGCAGACAGAGTGTGATCAAACTTTTTTTGGTCATTGCTAGGAACAGAATTGTGCCCCCTTCTCAAATTTGTATGTTGATGTCTAAACCTGAAGTACTGAAAAATGTGACCGTATTTGGAGACAGGGTCTTTGGAGAGGTGATCACGGTACAGGCTATCACAGAGGTGGGCCCTAACCCAGTCTGCCTGGTGTCCTTGTAAGAAGAGGAGATCAGGACACAGGCTCACAAAGAGGGAAGACCACGCGAGGACACGGGAGAAGCCGCCAGGAGAGACAGGCCTCAGAGGAAACCGCCCCTGCCGACCCCTGGGCCTCGGCCTTCCGGCCTCCAGAGCTTCAAGGGAACTAAACTTGTGCTGCTGACGCCCTGAGCCTGCGGGACT